GAGGGGGCTATGCTTTTCACTGTATTGCCTCATAGCTCAAATACTTAGGGCCATGGTACTCGGGCAAATTTCATGAGGCAACATCAGAGATATTATTATCACAAGGCAGACACTTAGGAGATTAAAAGTTTCCTGAAGAGTTTTCAGTGATTGGGAAAGGTTCAGATTTTTCTCTGATAAGATTTCAAAGTTCCAGGATATCTGCGGCCTGCATGGGAGAGACAAATCAAATAACTTTTGCCTCTTTTTTTACTTTTCTTTCAAGGGATTTTAAGCCTAAATCTAGGTTAGTTTAGGCATTTTTGGGGGGGGGGGGGGGGGGGGGAGAAAATCCTACTCAATGTGGTGATGAGAGGGTGCCAAAAAGTTCATCTGGCCCGTTGATTTCAGCGTGGATTACAGATATTCAAATCATGAGCCTCATGTTCAAACAAGTGCCTCTATCAGGGGAGAAAGTTGCCAAGCAGAGCTTTGTCATGTAAGCTGTATGAATTTACTGCAGCATAATGAGAAAACGGCTGTGGCGCTACATTAAATACAGTTTCATCCACTCACCCTCCCTCTCTCTAATTTCCTCTCAGTTACGATGATAATAATTGCAGTCTCCATACAGGCTGTATTCTTTAAAGATGGTGTCACCTGAACACGGCACACACATGGTCCCAGTTACAAAACGCTTACGCTTCAGTCAAACGCCCCAACACTTTTTGGGGTGTTTCTAACAAGGACAGCGGCAGCAGCAGTAAATGATGTGTATATTCAAAGCTGAATATTTCATGTTGATTGATCGAACTGACTGCCACCCACCTGCTCCTCCTCCTGTCCCACCGGAGCTGGCATGAGGAGAATTCAGTAATTGAGAAGAGCAGAGCATGCTCTCGCTTTGCTCACATATGACAGATGGGGCATCATCGCTTCAAAGGAGAGCATTTGAAAACAGGAGGAAGGGGGGGGGCAGAGGGTAGGGTAGGGGGGGGGCTCTGGAAGTAGCTGTGCCACTCTGTACAGGTGACAGTAAAAAAAAAAAAGGTTACATTATCTAAAGCGTGACCACTCCAAAAAAAAAAAAAGGTTACAGATGTAAAAGGTGCAACTTTAAATTTAAACGAATTTACGCAAACAGCTACATTGCAACGTGCAGACACCATGCATCATTATTCTCAGTCACACACAACTTCATCAGCCCATATTTTGTACGAGGTCTGGTGTATCTGGTACTTTATAATTTCTTAATTCTGGAATTTAATGGTTCTAAATTAGCCTATAATGAAATATTAGTATGGAATTAAAAACAAACGTTATGGTTAAATATGACATGATAGAAGGTCGTGATAAAAACATTATCTGGAACATGTTCACGGTCTACTGTGCACACAACATATGTAGCAATAAACACCAAGAAAACACACACATTTTCTGTTTTCTTCTTCTAATGTTTCCGGTAACGTATCGAATTTAATTCCACAGTCGTTTCTTAGCCCTCGCCATTACTTACTTTTCACCCCTCCAAAAAAAAAAAAGGAGCTAACAGCGGCAGCTGAGGGAAACGCATCTCTATCAGAATCCGACACGTCAAAAAACTTAAACTCACTCACTTTTCTCAAAATGAGGCTACTTCAGCACCTCCGAATCGGTGATGTTGTTCTTACCTGGCCAGTGCGAGGAGGCGCGGAGGACACGAGGTGACAGCTGGAGTTCAGCGGAGAGTGATGTTGAACTGGATGACTGACTGCTGACTGACGGACTGTTCGCTTCACACGCTTTATCACAAACGCCCAGCACACAGTCGGACCCGGATTCCCCACCTTTGAACTACTGCCTTCTCTCTAAAAACATCAAAGCTGTAAACGCTCTCACCAGACGAAGGCAGCAGTGTCGCTTTGCTCTGTAGTATTTCCAGTTAAAGAAAGAGGTAATGAAATCTTATTAAAAAAAAAATAAAAAATTCTCGGGATACTTCGACATGTCCCGAAGCCTTATGTCTCCCTCATCTGGCCGCTGGTGTGTAAGTGTAACCGACTGGCACCGTGCGTAAAATGTGCTCTGCCGTCTCCAGGATGCAGACCTCCTCAATCCTTCTTCTGACTGAGACGAGATGCGTGCATTTGGAAGCATTACGCGGTATTATGCATGTCAAATTTGGTAAGGTGATTACCTGCGAGGGTAGTACTTTTATATTCTTTGAAAACTTCGAGGCATGATGGATTCGCCTGTAACGGTGTTATGAGCTTGAGACTTGTGCTCTTTATAGACAGACAAATTATGCAGATTTTTACACAGGCTGATCCTGTGTGTTGTGTTTTGCATCAGCCTCTTGCTTTATGTAGTCAAACTGTGTGTTTTGGCATATTGTGTCAGAGGAGAAAGGATGACTAAACCTCGGTGATTCAGCATTTTATTTGGTAAATGGCTCCATTAAGGAAGCTTAATTGGATGCTTGTAACATCTATCACATTGCTAGCATCCTACTGACCTTCACTGTAGATTCTCCAACAAAGTGAGGAAGAGTTTTCTATACTTTGAATAAGTGAATACATTCCAAACATATTTATCTAAGAAAGACATTTGTAGACATAATCAGCAATAAAGAGAAAAAGCTAAAAAAAAAATAATAATAACATCAACAGTTCCTTGTTAGGTTTGCTGTTTATTGGGGTAGCAGGTGCTTCTTCTTGTTTTTCTTGTATTGGAATGTAAAGCACCTTCCACAGGTTGTTGAGCCGTCCACTTATTTTCAAAGGTATAATGTCGAAGGTTTCAACTAATAGTTATTTCACAATGTTCTCAGGTAATTCATGAATGAACATGAACATCAGAACATTGTGACAGAGACCCATCACAAGTTCCCAAACCCAAAGATGATTGGCAGCAGTGAAGGATGCAAATCTTCACATTTGAAAAGCTGAAACCAGACAATTTTCTGACATGTTTACGATCAGTTAATTATTCCAAAAGTTGCAGAATTGTCTATAAATTGACTCATTTTAACACTTGACTTAGTTGTTGTCCAAACAATTGAATATTGAGTTGAAAAAAAAATGTTCACACTAAACAGGAAAGAGGAAACATCACAGGGATGTTTTGAATTAGTTAGAGTTGAACTGTGAATCACTTTGAGGGGAATCTGTCGATGGAAACAGCAGTGCAAGACTCAAAGTGTCAGGAAGCTGCAAAGCTGTCACATCACCTGAACATTTGTTCCTCCCCTGTGATTTGCACCACTTCCTCTTATAGAGTGTAAATGATGCAGGTATACGAGACACTTTGTGGCTGCATCTTTAGTATCAAACATTGAAATAGCAGTGGAGCTGATATGTTGTTTAATCCATTCCTCTGACATGTAGAGCTAAGTGCAACTCTTCCTCTCCTCCAGGCCCAAGCACCTGTCTGGACAACAATACGCTTGAATCCTTCATCACACAACTCTTAAAATCCCCCGTAATCCCTGAAATGTAGATCTTGTGTGTTTCCAGCCCATTACATGGTGAGTAGATTTCTTTGTAATGTCGTACTGCTATGTTCCAACATATACCTTCACAGCTTAACCTACATAAGTCCATTGATCCGTGTCTCACCAACACAACTCTAGTATGTGAAGCATTTCCTAATCTGTCTCATGCTACCTGGATTTTCATATTGGAGAAATAATCCTGCTGAAGGGGAGGAGGGGGGCAGAGTCACCTCAGGACCTGTTTAAAAGCTTCTTATCAGAGACCTGCACTCCCACCATTTAACTAAAAGGGGAGTGATAGCCTTTCAACTCACAAGCCGCAGCTTTAATTAAAGCGGCTTGTGGGGGAGATGAAGTACAGTGGTGAGTATGAGTTGCCCCGCTGAAAATCGAAATCACATCAAACAACACAGCTCAGTCCGGAGTGATTTTCAAGTTCACTGTTTCAGAAAAATATTCCCGTTGCTTTGAAACATATGAATCTCCTAAACTCAAAACAATGAATACTTATTTTAACTACATAAATGTATAAAAAAAGAAACCCCCAAGTCAACTTTGAAGGGATTAAAACAATCTCATAATAATAAATTAGTGTCATACATCTGTTTCTATGTATGACCACAAAGTCATTCACAACAATGAACAAGTGTATTTACACAAGTACTGTACAATGTTTTTACTCCACTTCATTTATTTGACAGCTTTAGTTACTTTACAGATTATTTTTTACATGAAATATAGATATATATATATATCTATATATATATATATATATATAGATATATATATATATATAGATATATATATATATATATATATAGATATATATATATATATAGATATAGATAGAGAGAGCGAGACTTTCACTCATTTCAGTACATTTTACTGTTAATACTTCTGTACTTTTACCAAAGTAGGAGTTTGGATCCAGGACATTTACTTGATGGAATATTCATATTTTGTTCTCTGAATACATATATGTATAATAATAATAAACCATGAACTGCTGACTCTAAATCAGACTTTCTTCTGGTCCTCAGCAGTAACATTTTGTTGTTGGCCCCATGTTAAACTTGACTTGTTGGTTTAGATAGCTCTCTCTCTCTCTCTCTCTCTCTCTCTCTGGCTGCACTTTGATTCGACTTTTGCAAACTGGAACAGGCATTTTGCGTTGGGTTTGCTATACAGCTTTAAATTAAATGTTATTGCTCGCTTACAAAGTTTGGCTGCAATATGGCGAGGGGATGGTGCTTTACTTATCTCTTCAACTTTTAATTCACAACAGGAAATTCACAAGAAGTAACAGTAATTCATAAGAGATCATATTAGCTCAGTCAGTGTCTGCAATAGCTGTTTAAAATACCAAAACAAATTCCACTAGCTATCAGGGGCACAAATGTGTTACTATTACACACCATTACTATGCAGTGTTAGAAATAGATAGTCTTTCCAAATTCATACTCAGATACCGAATAATGGCCCGTCAGCAGAGCACAAATGAAAGAGAGAACGAGATATTTTCTTTCAAAGAAGAAAGAGGGAACAGGACTTCTAGCCAAAAAAAATTTATTTTTCTTTTAGTTTACATCAATATTCTTTTTTTGTCTTCACATAAAGCTCGTCACAAAGGAATACATACATTCATTAGGCAGGTCTAGAGAAGGTAAAATGAGAGCAAGTGGGCACCTGATTCTGTTTAATGATCAATACTTGGAAAAAAGGAATAAAACAAGGTAACTGGTCCCAAGAGTCTTACCTAAACTAGCAATAACTTTGATCAACAGAAAAGCAGAAAACAGGTTAAAACATACGACAGACAGCAATCGCTTTAAACAAGCCCCACAGAGAGATGGACAAATTGTTATACGGTAGGAGTGGATAAGCAAAAGACACTGCATTTAAAAGTGTTTGGAGCTTGTTAAAAAGCAGTGTTGCACACAAGGTTACCGCTGGCTACAAGGCTAACGTACATTCACTGAACAGTCAATGAATGTAACCTTGTATGGATAGAAGTGAGAGACGCGTGAAAGAAAGGAGAGGAGAGGATGGTTTGTGCATTTCATCGCTTCTACGAAAGAAACAAAAGCTTTAAAAACTTAATGTGAAATAGAGATATTTTTGCTTGTTAACAGTCACATCTGCTGCAACCTGGCAGCTTTAAATTTCGACACCCTTTTCGGGGATTGCTGGGGCGGGGCGACGTCAGGCGGCACCTCCTCCTGTTTCCTCTCCAGTATGGTCGGCAGAGCTGGTGGAGCGATGGTCAGATGGGGGACAGCTGAAGGCATCGGGTCCTTTTCTACTACTGTGCCTGAAAAGGCCTGGAGAAGAGAAGGCATGGTCAGAAACCAGCGGGATTGTGGAATTACATGACTCATGGTTGAAGGTTCAGGGTCACTAAAGGGTTTATAATGTTTTCATGATGGGGCTTTTCTTGTTCATATTGCCTCTTGTGACAAACATTTAATGATGCAGCTCCCATTTTAACTTAAAGAGGCTTCTGTGGGAGTTTTGTTATGTTCTCATTAAGGGATCCGACGCTCAAAGGTGCAATTTTCACGAACCGTTTCATAATATAGGCATATTGCCTTCACAGTGTAACTGAGATTAAAGACTATACAAAGAAACTTAACTGAGAGTTCAGACACAAATAGACAGCGAGAGCTAAAACTGACAGACAGCCATGTGTCACTTACCTCAAATCGGCTGGCGGGGTGCAGTGGGACCGCCGTGGGACTCTCCTCCTCCGTAATGCCGTCACTGGTGTCGCTGTGCGTGGTCTCATCGTGGCTGAAGCTGCGTCCGATCATCCGGCGCTCCTCGAAGTCTGCCGCGCTGCTCTCGCTCGTGTCGCTGCACACGCTGTTCTCTCGGCTGCGAGACTTTAGGATGGACTTTCTGGGGACGGGTTCCCCGTTCTTCACATCAACAAACAACCTGACGAAGACAGCAGACCGGTTTCACCAATCGGAGGAGAGGAACCTTATTGAACATAACTTTGCATTGTTTTTCCTATTTAGATATGTTTAAAGTTAGTGTTGTTTTCACCTGTAAATGTCCACTGGTGTTGTGATTTTGTGAAGTTCGTGATGGGAGAGACCGTTATTGTGTCCGTTTTTCTTTTTCCTCTTCGAGAGTTCCTTCTGCTCTTTCCTTTCACTGAACTTAAACATGGTGTTTTTTCCTGTGTTTATCCTCACCTGAAGCAAAAGACAGAGACCGCAGAATTAAAAAGAAAAAGAAGATACAATATCTTGAACATTTTATTGTTGTAAGTCATTTATCCCTCTGACCTTCTTGGGTTCGATTGTGTGCGAGAAAAAGATAGTAGGCAAACAGCTGCCTTCCTCTTCCTCGTCGTCTTCTTCAGCTTTCCTGTCTGAGCTCGGAGGCTCTTTGCTGTGAGGCGCGGAGGTCCGGCTAGGCTTTAGGCTGAGCCCATTTACCGGAGGCGCAGCATCTCCCTCCTTCTCCTCTTCTGAAGAGAAGGACGATGTGTCCTCACCAGTCATGTCCGCATTATAAGACAATCTGCAGAAAAACATTCCCATGAGACATTGTCATTTTGCCCAAGGTTAGAAAATGTGCAATTATTAAAGCCACAAGGAAAACAGCCTAAGTGTCTTCATCTACCTGTCCTGCTCGTCTTGTAGCTCCTCCAGTTTCTCGAGTTCATCCAATCTAGCCCACAACTCCTCTTCAGTCGAGGTGCCTTTTCTGCTCCCTCCATCTCCTCTATCTCCTCCATCTCCGCCCTCTTCTTCATCCTCCTCATCCTCCTCTTTTAGATCCAACACGGCATCCAATTTGGGCTTAGAATTTAGTTTGTGAGCCATTCTTTGCTGTCCTGTTAAAGCAGGCAAGACGGAAAACAAAAACGCAACATTTTTTTAGCCTAAATGTCAATCTGAGTTTGTGTAGAAGCTTACTTTGCTTTTTCATAATGCAAGATGTGTAAAGTAAGATGAGGGCAGAAGAACGGCTGAGATACCTTTAGTGACAGCAATGTCAATGTTTCCAATGTCTTCTCTAATGTCAACATAGTCCCCTTTATTCTGAAGAAGAAGCAAAGTCAGTACAGTCGCTCCTATTTATGTCTCATGCAATATTTCCTCTGTGAGACGACGTGTAGCAATGCAACATACGGATGAGATGGTTTCCAAATCCTTCACAAGCCCAACTCTGGCTTCAAAGTTTTTCACCGTCTTTGACAGATCATTGAGTTCACTCTTCACATCTGCAGAAAAACAGGTACATTATCATTAAAATGTGCATTCAGAGCGTCGGAAGCAGACTGACAAAACCGTAAAGTGGCTGCAGGCTAATGGATTCAAATTAAACATTTAATGGAACAATGGCAACCGGCTGCTAAAGAGTTAAAATACGAAACAAGTTGGGGGGGGGAGAAAAAAAAAATAGAAAAATGATGACACAAACAGTTCATAATATCTTCTGCCCTGAATACTACTCCGGATCATTAAATCTTGACAACAATTAAGCCCTTTTACTAATAGCAGCGGAGGGCCCTTGTTTCCATGGCGATCGGGAGCCCCTCCAGTCAGTGCATCAACTGGAAGTGAGGAAAGGTCAAACACAGAAGGCCTGACAACCCAGCCGCTGTCTGACACATTTCAGCCAGCTATGTTTGTATTACAGCACTTAGCTCTGTAATAGCGGGGTGGGCAGGGTCAGGAAATGGAGGGGGGGGGGGCAGACGGCTGTGGATGGGCTGTGGCAGCATGTTTCTGCTTCACTAAACACTCTAATAATGTTCACATCAGACATCGTTACTTGGGCCCGTTTGACTCGATATGAGATTTTCAGACCTAGAAGGAGCAGCGGGAGAAACATGGCCATGCATAACCCGTGGTAGAATAAATAGGTAGTGCACTCAATCAAACAATGGTGTTGCGTGTACACGACTAGCTTTGAGCGCAGGAGAGGAAAAAAACGCATGTATTGCTGTTCTACAACAGAGGCGTTGGACAAAGCAACATATGAGTGCAGCACAGCCAATGAATGCTTCAGATGTGCCTTGCAGCTTGCAGCCCTTTAACTAAATGGGAAATAAAGTACCCCGCGTACATTAATAAATAATGAATGCACCAAGATTTCAGAACAGTTCAGAAGCAGCATTACAGTTCAATAAACATATCATTAAAAAGAGACAAAAATTCTGCAAGTATCTCAACATTTTCTCCCCAAATCCTATGATGCGTAACGGCTCAGCAGGAAGTAAGTTTGTCGCTCAAGTGATTCTTCAGCCAGAGCTTGATGCAGCGACACCCTCTGCTGGATGAAGAGGAGTAGTGCACAAGCGGTTACATGACATGTAAACAATGCCGTCCGCTTGAGGGAGGACAGAAAGCACTCTTTTCAAAAAAAAAAAAAAAAAGAGGAGACTCACATTTCATCCTGTGGTCGACAATTTTCTGAGCCTGCTTGGCCGAGCACTTGGCGAACCAGTTGTCACCGAGCAATGCCGTGACCTCGTTTGTGTGCACCAGCTTCCCGGGCATGAAGGCCAAAGGGCCAAAGGGCACCTGTGTACAGCACGGGGGACCAACCAAAGAGAAACGGTTAATAACGCCGGTGGCAGGACGTGGACATGAAGGTAGGAGAGAAGCAGAAATAAAACGTCTAAATAATAAACGTGCCCTTCGCAGCAGGTATTCATCTTAAAACTACACCCCACAATGCACCAGTAAAGTGCTGGTGTGTTTTCCTGTACATGTTTAACAAGGTCAGCACTCACCATAATGTCATAAGACAGCTGATCTGGAAGAGTTTTAAGGCGGTCATTCAGGGCCTCATAGTCACCTGACACCTTCTTCCTGCAAAAGCATGTATTTATAATGATGATAGGCCAACAGCTATTCAAATTAATGTTTGTTTGTTTCCATTTGAAGCTGCAGAGCTCCTATGAAGCCATTCCTATCCAAATTAGGTTTGCTTGGTTTGTTTTTCGAGGATGTTAAAACAGAACAATGGGAAGCAAACGACTTGTGGAGTAATGAGGAAGTGCCTGTTTCCCCCCATCAGGGCAGAAGGGAGGCCTCAACCCAAGAGGCCTCAATGTGTCTCTGGTATTCATTTGTATTCATTTGCCACTGGACAATGTAAAGCTTCAGAGAAAATCATGACGACAGATGGACCAAAAGCAGCTGACGCTATCCTATGATGCCTTCTTCCATGCAGATGAAGACCACAGAAATATGACTTACTCTAAACATTTACATTTAGCTTTTGAGATTGCCTATTTTCTCCAGTGTAACCGATCTGGAAGTTATGTAATGCCCTTTGCATGATAAACAAAGTGTCTTAGCCAGAATGTGCTTCCAAAAGCCCTTATTTAGACCTCAACCATAAATATAAGTTATATATTCAAGTAAGAACTAAAAAGCTTATTTGACCTAATTAGCACAGAGCTACAGCAGTAGGAAGAAGAGAACATGTATAGGCTTTTTAAATAAGAATTTTGTCTTAAAAGTTGTATATTTGACATAAACATACAACAAAGGGTGAGAACGTCCCACATTTTCCTCATGAACAATGTACTTTTCTACTTGTTTCAACCCCTGGGTTTGACCACCTGTGCTCCACCTGTAACTACTGACTGCCGGTGCATTGAACAAGTGCAGAGTTTAGAGACAAGGGGGGGGGGTGAACGCTGGACTTTGTCCGTTCATAGCAGGTCCAACAAAACATCACAGGAGAGTGAGAGACGTCAAGCCCGGTCTGCACGCGCCCACACGCTCCTGAGAAGAGCTCTAATCAGCCAAATAAGTGACAACACCTGTGTGGGTGTCCCATGGATGGGAAGACTGCCGGTAGGGCGGCTCAGTTGTGATTACAATGATACTTGAGACTGTGCTGCTCGACATTGAGATGTTTTGTACTTTTAAAAAGTGTTTTATTGTCCTTAAACTGACGGGCAGCTGCAGTCGTTTCTACAAACCTTTCATTGCATCTGTAACTGAAAGACTACTGATGGTAACACACTCTTTGCAATCAATAAAAGTGACTTTACTGTGATGAAGTTACACAATAGTAAAGCCCCTACATAGTCGAGGTCCATTCACGCAGGTGTTTCCACTTCCTGTACCCGATTAGCTCTCTTCTCATGGCTGTGTGGGTCTATGTGTGTGTGTATACACAGTGCATTGTTACACTCTCCTGTGTTGCATCTGTTCGGGTAGGAAAACTGACCACTGTCATCATTCAAATGACCTGATTTCAATGAAGACTTTTTTTTTTTTTTACATGTCACAGCAGCAAACGCGCAGGTGAAAATATATGAATTAATGACTGCTGAATTGAGCGGCTTTAGTTTCAGGATCCTGGTATTGTGCAAGTTGGCTCACTGTCATGGTTAACCAGGACACTATTGGTAAAGTTTTGAATAAGTCCTGTGATTTTCCTATTGTGACAAGTCAAAATGGCTCAACTTCACCCTCCAGTAGCGGTCTAATGGAGTGAATTAAACTGCAATACAACTTGTAATTGTCTACAAAAGGTGGAAAACTGTCTCTGGCCCATCGGGCAGTTCATTGGACAATCAGACAGAACAACTGAAGACAACTGTGTGTGTGTGTCCTGAAAACGCTCCTTCTTGCTATACTGCAAATGTGCGTTTGGGAATGAAGAACAAACTGGCTAATCACGGTTCACTTGAAACAAATGCCTCCGATTGGTCACGGTAGGTCTAATTTGTTGATTTTGACAGGAGCCGGCACTCCAAAACACAAAGCATCAATATTGCACAGAATCATGCTTGATTAATTGAGCGACCCAAACTCGTGGCTGTTATTAGACGATAAATTATGCAGTTCTAACGTGTCTCCACTAAACACAAACTTCACAGAAGGAAATTGGTGGAGGATGACAGAAGCTATCCAATAATTTAATTTTCCAATTGGTTGTATTCATAGATTTGGATCACTCAGAGACAGTCAAGTGCAGAGCCATACAAATTTTGGCTTTGACTTTTTTTTAAACAATATTTTAAGAGTGCAGAGTAGAAATTAAACCGTATATTCTATATCACCACGGACAACGTGATCATATTACAACATGTACTTTGACCAGCTGCTTTTTGCTACTTTGTGTGACAGAGATTTTTTTTTTAGTGTATTAAAAATCGCAAACAATTGAAAGAATGCTCATTATGCAACTGTTGAAATGGGACTTTCTCAATGCTTACCAGTGCAGAATCCGACTTTCACAGTCTTTCACCACCTGTTTTCAGGACAGATAATGTCAATACGAATCATATCTATGCAACTTACAGTCCTGTGTCAAGGTTTTAAAAGCCTGAAGGAGTTATGGTAAAACATGGCAACTGTGATTAATTGCCACAAGCAGGTTCCAAATTCCTAAACATTTCTGATCAGTATTGTCACTGGTAATGCAAACAACACAGCTTATGAACGTACAAGCTGAAGAATCATCAAACACAGGGACACAGACAAAAACAAAGGAAGCAGGAGAGGGAAGACACACACAGCTGTCAAAACTACATTCAAATGGTCAGCACATCTGCATAAACACCCCTTCACTGCGGTGATATATGGGAATACATACAGTTTGTGGAAATCTGGGACTTCCTGGCTGAATAGGCTATCTGTTGACATGTAATATTTACTTAATAAACTGTAAGAGAAAAGTTAGCTGGTCGACAGTTCATAAAAACATTTTTTTTAAAGTCTGGATGTCATCCAATCAGACAAGCCTAAAGTGAAACTAGCTCCGAAGTGCAAAGAGGCGACACGCCTCCCTCCTGGCAACGTTTGCGTAACAGAACTTGAACATGTGAGTGGCTGCAAGAGAGGAGGAAGCTTCTAGAAACACGGACAGTCAAAACAACAAACTCACAACTTACTACTGTGACACACAGGTTCGTGTAATTAGTGCACAAACGTCTATATTTAACGTGAAACGGCACTTTGGTAGATCCACTCGGGGTTCAGAGAGCCGTGTTGGTGCACACCGCGTGGCCAGCAGCGGTCTGTGGCTAACGTTAGACGTCAGTAAGGCTGCACAATGTTTTGTGTCAACTGGTGAAATTACCTTCTGGTGTTCCTCTCGGAGCCTGACAACTCCGCCGAGATGCTCTACATTCATTTTACCCTTTTCAGCCATGGTGAACCCACGTGCACAACGGGAATATGTTGTGTTTAGTGACCCCAAAACAAAGCTCAGGGGTTGCTGTGAGTCCTAAAGAAGTGTTTATGAATGCAGCCGCAGCGCTTCCGGAGAACCGTTCTGCTCGTATTCATCAATGGGGCAGTGGTAGTTATCCGCACTTTCGGAAGTGATACCATTTCACACTCTCATTTCAAGATTTTTGCATGATTTCCAAAAATATCCACGGTTTCGATATCCAAAGATGGGCAAATATTCCTCGTCACTCTCGCTGCGACATGTACTTCGGTCAAGTCCGTCCAGACACAAGTAATACCAACGACACTTCCGGTTACAAAATTCAGAATAAAAGAACCCTTTTCAGTATAATAAATAAAATAAAAAATACACAGGGATGTACAGAAAACTCCCGGATAAACAGAGATAAACCTGTAATTTAATTGGTGAAATAACACAAAATACCGCACTGTAACATTACTCCAATACAAGCAAAACTTCTAAATTCAACATTTTAGTCAAGTAAAAGCATGGGGACCACGAGACCTAAATGGGCGGCTGAGTAAAATTATGCAAATGTCAGCAAAATGTACCACAAAAGTCCAAATTAAAAATACTAACCATACAGAATGGTCGATGTTAAGTTATCGCTGTTTTTGACGTTGCATTGTATTTTACATATTGTTGCATTCCATCCTTATTATTTATGACTCATTTACATTGTAAGCAGTATTTAAATTGTGTAGTTTGTCAAGGTGGAGTTGATCTAAATTAATTATTATACTCTTGGGTAGTTTAATCTATAACATTACATTTGTGGGCAAGTTGTTAATATGCAGCGCTGCAAACCAGTTGTCAAATAAACACAGTGGTGTATAAAGTACAACATTTCTATATGTAATGTAGTTTAGTACAAGTATAAAGTAGCAAAAAAAACATTCAAAGAAGAGACGCAGTAAACAATAAGCGTCTCAACATTTCCTCTCCTTTTTCAGTCCCGTTTTGTACTTTTATTTTGAAGACAAAACATAAACATTTCCGGTTCTTGGCTGTATGAAGCTATCTTGACGCAGCTGCTCCTGTCTCTCCCGGTGTACTCTGGGTAAATGTGGATGGTTGCACAAATGTAAACAGTCAACATACTGTAGCGAGCTGAAACCCGGCTGCACCAACACACAGTATCAGTACCACGGTGGCAGCAAGCACGACCACTGTCAGAGAGTTATCTATTAGAAAAGTAGCAATGGGTTTCCTCGTCATTTGGCAAGGTGACTCTGTCTGTAGCTGCAGAGACATCGTAGATACAGATCATATTTAGACACACACATATCCATAAAATAGCCCACATAGCTATCTGTACATATTAATTAGCTCAGACAGGTCAGTTGTGGTAAACAAGTTTGGTTTAAGTAATATAATCCAGCCGTGGTTCCAGCCCCCTTCTTATTGGACGCTCATTGGCTGTTTTTGTTGCCTTTAATTGCTGTCGGAAATATCAGTTATTCCAGTTACAATAGCTAAAGCAAATAATACAGCGTTAATATGAGCCCCTTTAAACAAGTCTGATGATCCATAATTTACCTATTGTATTGGGTTTAGGAGCAAGATATTCATTGAGTGAATTTTAAAAAGCCCTTGTTCAACAAATCAAGAATAATTTAAGGGGTACGTGATTTCCCCCACAAATTTCACATTAATTCAAGAAATTGGATGTTTGATGTTATTATAATGGTTAATTTACCCCATGAAAACAAACACCTTCTATATAGCCAGGTAGGTAGTAGGTTAGGTTTATCCGCATATATCATCAGTATAATGTGATGAGCATGTTCAGTGACTCACTGTCACATGATCTAATAAAGTTTAAACTTTTGTTGGTTGATTGACAGCACCTGCGGTTTATTTTCGAGACAAAACGCAGGGAGCCCGGGATTACTCGAATGTCCCTGAACGCAGCATTTTTGTTTTTCCCATCAGGCATTGCGTGCACAGTCACGAAAGATCAGAAATCAGGAGGAACCGGCGAGCATAGTTGATATAATAATAGCATTATAAAATAAGTCTTACAAATACCGATGAGGATTTCATGACACAGCAAGGTACGTTAGTGCTGTTTACTGTGGTTACTACGATACACTTTACCTGAGGGCTTTTATTTTGTTGACTGGCGCTACAGATGTCAACCTTTGGCTTATGATGCTTTCTGATGCAA